TTGATGAACAAACCATACAAAATCAGCTGCAAATTACACACACAATTGTACATTACATGTATAATCGCTATAAAAGCTTCTCACGTCTTAGGAGTACATGTATCTTGATACCGATTTAGCAAGATTCAAGAAACGAACAATCCAGTTAGAAATTTCTATTTCTTTTAAATTTTTAAAGGAATAATTTACTTCTTGAATTGAGTACACTTGAAACAAGCCTCCATAGTGCAATTTGTTCATTTGAAACAAAAGAAATTCTCCTTTTCATGAATTTTGCGTTCACATATTCAAATTCGGACAATAATATTCGAAATTGGATAATCGATTGAATATTCAGATATTTGGATAGTTGGCACAGCCCTACTGGAAAGTTTTTTAATTTTCATGTACTGGTAGCTAAATCCTAAATAAGACACAAGCATGAGTAAGTTTTTTCTTTTAAAGCCTACACACGTGTACATGTTTAATTTCCTTATTGTACATACATGACATATGTACATGTACCTCCATCACATTACTATACCTGCTCTGAAAAATTTTTTTTAATTCATGTACATGTACAACAAATCCTTGAACCATACATTTACAAGTAATAAAATTGGATACTAGCAAAGAAGAGCCTGTGTTGGCTATAAATATTCCAATGGCCTCTAGATCTCATTTTTTGGGGGGCAACTTTACATGTATATGTGTGTAAGTGACTTCAAGCGAACATGTTGCAAGACCAGAAGAGGTCACGTAGTGTACGTGTACACAATGCATATGTGCGCAATAAATAATTAACTACTACATTTCAGGTTCAAGCTGGCCTCTAAGAGAAACAGAATCGAGGAATGGAATTCAAACACAGCTTACTAACATCTTTGGTATGCGAAACTACTATTTCAGTCAAGACACGTATTAGTAAACATTGTGGCTATTCACTTTTTACACATGTGGCAAAGGTTATTCCAGACACCTGCTTCAGAGTATGCCAGCTTTGGCATGTGCTGTATGCATTTCCATGAAAAATGCATTTAAACCTTAAATCCAAAGAATAAATTTCTTATTTACTTTGCTAAAGCTGCCTTCTGAGGAACTCCAACATGGTGTAAATGTATGCACATTTATATGGTCATCTTGAAATGCGAAGTATGTGCTTATTTCTGCTTTTTTTTCAACATATCAATTCCCATGTAACACCAGTTTTCAACCTATGATGTTAAAACCAAACATGTACACTGCAAGTTCATATAATAGGCCCCAATACCATGCATGTATACAATTTTCGCTGACCTGATTGGATCACATCAAGATGGCTAACTCTGGTTGGAGAAAATTTCTGCTACAGTGTAGACTACAACTAAAACTTCAATTTATTTGTTCCCTGAGTTGCGCACATAATGAATGTTTATGAAAACAATAGTAAGAATAACTTCATAAGGTGACAGACTGAACATTCTATTCATGAGGCAAATCTGAGTGGAAAAGGACATTCAGTCTGTCACCAAATAAATTTCTTTCCACTGCGTGAACCTGAAACATTCATCATTTGTTTTACACAACGTTTGAACAAATCATCTGTAAACCTTGCGTGCATGTACAAGTTGCCAAGTTACGGTACTTTGTCAGTCATACAAATGCAACATGAAGTTCTCACGGTCAACCTTAGCTCATGTTTAAAACAGACAATCATGTGTGCCTTACAGTTTGCTCTAATTGTTTGACAACCTATTTTGTGTCTTTGCATTTGAAGCATAACTTTTACTTACATAAACTTCTTACTTATTACTTACTTACTTCATAAAAATCCATATATCTGACAGACGACAAAATGTGGCCTATGGGAAATGGTCACAGCTGCTAGCCAGGGGCTATCATTCTGTGCTACATCTAGCCATCACATGGTCATTTCAAGATGGAGAAAGGTACACGTCTGCTTGCACAATGCGATCCACGAGTAATGTGCACCCAACAATGTCCTGCACGAGATTTGAAGCTTTCCATATTGGAAGTAGCAAGCAAACTAGATACGTTTGCGGTAGCACCATGGATTTATCTCCTTTTTTGAGTATTTGGGGTTCTGAAAAGAACCGGTTGTACTCAATGTTTGGAACAGTACGTGTATGCTCTGTCCGTCGTCAGGAGACTGACAGACATACATGTACTGTCCGAAACGTTGAGTACCACCCGTTCTTTTCAGAACCCCACATACTCAAAAAAAGGAGATATATCCATGGTGCTACCGTAAACCTGTCTACATGTAGTTTAAATGTCCTGCATCTTCCCCCTTCCCTCCCCCATCAGGAATACCATGCAGAAGCGCAGCCAAGGAATCTCACCTTGCAGAAAAGCGGCAACATCATGTAGAGCTTGTCCTCCTGTTCCTTCTGGGAGAGCGGCTGGGCCGTGCAGCACAGCTCCACGTAAAGCTTCCTCAGGTGCATCAGGCCCAGCGAGTTGTCCTGGGCTGAGGACGGCGAGCGCCGCATGGAGTTCTTCACAAACCTGCGCATGGTGTTCATCTTGGGGCCTTGGGGAGGGGGAGGCCTCAGGGCCGGCCGGCCAGACCAACCAGGCTCGCTTGGGTCAGTCCGTCACAGTTGACCGATGGGGCGAGGCTGGTGAGTGATGATGGGCCTCGGCATTGGATTTTGCCCTTTGTGTATCACAATAATGTCCTGAAATTCATGGCAGGTGACTCTACAGCTGAAGACAAGAAATCAAACAAAAACAATTATTCATACTGAGATGCACAGTCAGTGAACATGGCAAGCAATGAAACCTTTGAATTTAACCATTTTTGCACAGAAATCAATCAACATTTAATTTTAATGATACTGACATCTGACAACTCTAGACTTGTCTAGACCTGCTTAACGTTACGCTGTAACAATTCATTGTTATGAATCTAAGCCAATTGTCACTGTTACTGCTACGATGCAGTTCACACATTAAACACAATTTCTAACAACTGCCAACACAGCTGATAAGTTTCTGTTTGAGTGAGAATGCAGATATCACTGGTCCCATAGCATACTGTCATTTCTAACCAGTGAGTGATGATTACCAAGGAAGCATCCTCCCCAGGGGAGGAATCACGATACATGTACATGTACATGTATGTAGGGGTATGTGTGTGTCACTGAAGGGGACAGGTTGACAAAAATGCTTGGTATGTAAAGCCCTTAAGCTGCCCATAACAAAATTGGTTTTCATGCTCCCAGCCCTGCGAAGGGATTAAGAAATACCTTGCTTGAAGTGAAAAGTAACATTTATGTTATGAAATCTGTCCATCTGACATGCAAATGCATGCAAGAACTACACGTAGGTGATGTCTCAAAATAAACCTTTTTTGGCAAAAACTGTACACGTTCATGTACACATGTACATCTGGTGATCAACAAATGATACCAACCTAGTTCAAAACTGAGGGAACCATGACATCTTGAGGGGCAGCAAATGGTTTGTTGTGTAATGTCAGCAGGTCATGAATGTCGCATAAAATATGAGAAGTTGTTACTTACATCTAAATGAATTTAAGCATTACAATGCGAGCACTGATAATTATCAATTAAGCAAAATTCAGCAGGGAACCAGTCAAGAGCAGTATATCAGTGCACTATATAATGGTACATGTGTGTTCATTTTGGCTGGTGAAGAACCTTGCTCACCTATTAAAAGGGAGCATTTTCTGTGGCCAGGTCCACATATTGTACATGTATTGGGCAGCGTGGACATCCGGGAGTTTCACAAAATATGGGTAGCAACTACACCGTGGCCGGTGAAAACAACTGTAACGAGCGCGCGCGTACTACAGATCAAACAAAAGATTGTATAACCCGATCCTCGGACTGGCTGGTGCGTGCGTACGTCGCCAAGGTCGCTGTTTTCACCGGCGCAGTACCTGTCTTTTTGCGAGAATCCCGGATGTCCGCGCTGCCCCACATATATGTAAACTTGACAGCAGCTTGGAACTACACAGGCATCTATGGTAGTGGCCACAGCCAGTTCTCATAATCTTGTCCGTAGTTCCAAGCCACAGCCAAGTGATTCGGATGGGGCCGTGCTTCAGAACAGGAAAAAACCAAGCAAGTCTGGTCCAAGCCAATTTGGCTCATCAGGCCGGTGTTTATCTCCAGTTTCCTTTGCATGAAACGACTGAGAGTATTTTTATTCCCCCTGGATGGGATGCCAGTCCATCGCAGGTTGCTTCCCCAGCTAATGCTGGTACCCATAGATACATACTCCTGGTTGAAGAGAGAGAAGAGCAGGGGTGAAGAGGCATTGCCAAGGGCCACAACATACTGCCAGCAGCTGGACTCGAACCTCCAACCCTATGATTGGAGGCCACAAACTCTAACCACTTAGCCACATGCCCACAGGAAACTGGCTCAGAATGTTGACGGTGTCTACATTAAGAACAGGTTTTCGCTGTTTTCTCAAAACAGTGAATTAAACATCAATTATCCGTACCTGTACCAAAGTATTCATGCACATGTACACGTGCTGTGTGGGCACTTCCGTTGTGCCACTGCAAAAAATTTCAATGGCCAAAAATGCAGCAAAATGCAAATGGTCCCTGAGAGTGTGGCTTATGAAAACAATGTTGGACGTCTTTTGAATGAGCTGTACCTAACCACATGTATACATGTACATGTACTGTAGGCTATGTTACGCATGTACATGTACATGTACCGTACTACTGTTGGCATACGGTATTGTACATGTGCACGTACTCCAATATTCACTAGTGCCTTGACTAAATCTAAAATAACATGAGTCATGTCATGAATAAAAAAGCAAAAGATTGTTGGCAGCCAACGGCTGCAGGGCTGTTGGCATAAAATCTGCAAATTATATATCACATGCAGTTTAGATAATGTACATGCATGGTGCACACTGGGTATACATGTATCACACATACAGAGAACATACATGTACGTACAGTGTATGTACACACATTGTAAATATTACGTGTATATGGCAATATTTAGGGGGGCACTTTAAATATTGATGTACATGTAACCATGGGGATTTGATCAATGTGACTGTGCCAGAGTAATCTATGATTTAACATGAGAAGACTGGCCTGAATTATGGGCAGAAACTGGAATGTGCTATTCGTTCCAATTTCACACACCTCGGTACAGGACATGTACATTTGTACATGAATCACGATTGCTGGTAATCCGATGCCAGATACAAAAATTGTACAACTGAAACATATGCCATACATACATGTACATGTCATCAAGGCACATGTACATATTGTACATATTACATGACAGTCCTGTCTTTCAAACAGGTTGGAAAGGAATAACGAAAGGAGTGATCTCTCAGGGATGTAGAGTAACAATGAAAGGCTCCAGTTGTACGGATGGGGACAATTGGTCTGGGAATGACACTTCATTTGGGAAGCATTTAACCACCTGTGCTCATATACATGTATCTTTAAAATTAAAATGTCCAGTCAACTTCCAGTTGTGAGCAAGTGGCAAGGGTTGAACTTGAACCACGGAAGTGAGCAAGGTCTTTGCTAAGCGCCTCGTTAAAAACATGAAACATAACATACACGTACAATGTACACAGCACAGTACTGTGACTAACAAGATTGTGTACATACAGTACGTACATGAAGACACGCGTATGCATTAAGTATTGAAAAATAGTTCTGTGAAATGACATCAATTATTAACACCATAAACATTTTTAATATAGATCTGTAGTTTGACTGGTACCAGTACTTTTGGTTTTTTTTAACGAGACAAATTGCAGAGTAAATGGCATTAATGCAAGTTACAAACTGTAAAATATGAGTTCCATAGCCTTTGGGACTATTCGTCAAAATAGATTTACTGATTTGTTTCAACCTGTACTAGTACACGTCAAGGCCACAGACGGGATGTGGAAAACCTATCACCAGCATTAATGAAAAATGAAAAGTTTAGGTTTCAAAATAATCCATCACAATGTACAGTATGTTCACTTTCAGCTGCTGTCGGAGTTATTTTTACATCAACAAATTTTCCCAGAATGAACATAAACACCTGTCAGTAGGCTGTAATTTGTACCTTACCACCTGTCTGATGAAACCACATGTACATGTACACAAGACACACACTTACACATCACATGTAAAGTGGTACAGTGTACATGTACTTACATGTACAGTCTGTACACCCACACAAAGAAGATGCCATTATCATTAAGAACTCGATAAATAATTCCAAATTTCCTTTCATTGAAACGACTTTTGAATCCCCGTCTGAATATTTCATGCACCCTTCTCACAGGAGATCAATTTGATCACTCTTGGATTTCATTATACATGTACATGTACTGCAGAGTGCATACAAGTACATGTACATGTACCAACAAACGTCAAGATGATACAAGAGTGTTCTAAACATTTCTCTCAAGACATGTACATGTCTCTGTAAACATGTTAAAGGTACAAAAGGTCATTCTAGGGTTACAAAGTGATTTCAACTTAACCTTTGAATAACAAGATTTTTTAGCATGAGGAAGAATTACTTAATAATTTGATTAAAACCCTCCTTTTGCTGTAACAGTCAAAAACAGTCAAAAATTCCTTCCACTTCTCTGTAAATGTATATAGACATATCATATGTCGCTTGGCTGATTTTGACTGACAGGACAACTGTGTTGAGAATCCATCTTTGCATAGGTTTAATTAATGGTATCATACCGTAAACATCTGGACCAGTTTTTAAAAACTAGCCAAATTCCATTATCATGCTGTCCTAATATCTTACTCATTTCTGTGCATGCAAACTAAAACAAATCCAAATACATGTATTTATCAGACACTTTGAAATCAAACCAACATGCCACATTTGCTGCAAAAAATACTTGGAGTAGTGAACGCAAAACAAGAAACAACTGAATGGAGTGATAGCCGCAGCAATAAAAAAAAAGAATCCCAGATCAGTCAATTTTATAAAATACTACAGACAGAATTTTTGCTTTTCTCCCCCTCCCTTCCAAGCCCTAACTCCCTACTGTATAAGCCGGTAATGTCCATTTCCCATGGGAGGGTGTCCATAGAATCAACTGCACATGAATGTGGGTGACTGACGGGCGTTTAATGATTATCATGATTCATGAATGTATGCCAAGCGTCACAGACACACAGCACCACAGTCGGTATAATCTGATCAAGTGTCGTGACACAGTTCGGCGGATTTGCTCTTAAGCGGTAGCTACTTCACAATAGGCACCCTGGCTCATGTATGTTCTCTCGTGAATCATACATTAACATGAATGTCTCACACACCACAGCTTCATTTGTGACAAGGCATTCCCGATTACGGGTAGAGCACTCAGCTACTGTAGATGTTTTAAAATTCACCCATTTTTGGGGCAAAATGTCACTGGAGGTTTACAAGCGTCAAAAAAAAGGAAGCAAAATGGGGGGGGGGGGAAATGGTGCTGAGGGAAGAGGTGTAGTCTCCTCTTGACAAATGGCATGCTAGGCAATAAAGGGAAGTCGTACCATGTACAGTTTCATGAACAAACTACCCAGCAATGAGCTCGACATGGACTGGCGTCACAAGAGGATTTGTCCACATTTAGTCTAGAACCAAAACAAAACAATTTGGACAGAGGACAGAAATGAACCCCGCTGATTAATTCCACTGCATCACAGGGTAGGCACATGCGCTGCAGTCATCAAACAAATTTCT